GAACGTGTGGCGTATGACCAAAGTTTGTACAGCAGTACCACTTGTCATTTTTTCTGGTGGTGGAGTTTTGTTACAGATGACTAGGGGGGGGCAACAGGCAGAGAGAACGTGTGGCGTATGACCAAAGTTTGTACAGCAGTACCACTTGTCATTTTTTCTGGTGGTGGAGTTTTGTTACAGATGACTAGGGGGGGGCAACAGGCAGAGAGAACGTGTGGCGTATGACCAAAGTTTGTACAGCAGTACCACTTGTCATTTTTTCTGGTGGCGTTTTTTACAGATGACTGGGGGGGGGCAACAGGCAGAGAGAACGCGTGGCGTATGACCAAAGTTCGTACAGCAGTACCACGTGTCATTTTTTCTGATGGCGTTTTTTTACAGATGACTAGGGGAGGGCAACAGGGGGAGAGAACGTGTGGCGTGTGACCAAAGTTTGTACAGCAGTATCACTTGTCATTTTTTCTGGTGGCGAGTTTTTTACAGATGACTAGGGGGGGGCAACAGGCAGAGAGAACGTGTGGCGCACGACCAAAGTTCATTTTTTTTAGCCACGCACAGCAGTACCACATGTTTTTTGTTTGGTCGGTGTGTTTTTCACCAACCAACGTCTGCATTCGTAGATGCTTCGGAAACAACGTCTCCTCACGACGCGAACGTAGTCAAATACAACGTAAAAAACGGTTTGAACGCGGATGCATTCTCGATATGGTTATCCCGGGCTGTGGGAGCTGACCGTCTACGCCATGATGCCGTTCAGGCAATACTGCTGTCTCCCTAGAGACAATATCGTGAGGTCAGAAAAAAAAACTCTGTTACGATCTCGCATTCTCGCAACTATGACATGAACAAATTCCCCGACACAGGGGGGAGGGTGCTCACCCTTACCCTACACGCCCAACGTTTTAAAAAAAATGCGTTTGGAAACCTACAATCTCCTTCGACCTCTCTCTCTGCAACATTCGAATTTTCTCGCGCAAGAGATGCACAACGCAGGAATGACCCTCAAACAAACGACGTCAAGACAAGCGGCAACACTTACCGAGACAAAACGAAACAACACGAAACCTTACTGGACACCGCTCAGTCAGGCATTACCACGGTTGATGATGTTTGTAACGCATAAAACACGACTTGCGCAAAATTGTCTCCAAGCCCTCGTAGAGGCGCATGTGGATTTGGCGCCCGACCCTCTCCCCCCTCAAAAAAAAAACTTCTCATCCGCCCGTGCGCCTTCCCTTCCCTTTCACCCCCCCCACGCCCTACCCCACCAAAGGCGTTGCATTCCCGACCACCATTGTCCACATCCCCCGCCCCGGCCACGGCCCACGCTCCTCAAAGGCCACCACCGCCGCATTTGCCTCGTCTCGTCCATCATCCACGTAGGACGTCCTCGGGACCCACCCACCCTCCACCGCCATCCGCCCGCGTTCGACCCCTTACGTCTTCCTCGCTGCGTTGCGCACAAGTTGTGCTTTGGGCGGTACTGGCGCTTGTTGTCCAGCATCATCGTGATCCCCTTGCGCGTGGAGACTTCGCCTGACCTGGTCGGTTTCTGCACGTCCTTGGTGGTCTTGGTGGTCGTGCGGAAAGTTCCTGGCAGAGTCTTGTCGCCGAGTAGGTGGGGGCGTACCTGAACCACCTCGGCGTCTTCTTCCGACTGGTGGATTGGTGTGACCTTCTCGTCCCGGAGATAGTTGTGGAGGCGAAAGAGCGCCGTGATGAGGTCGCAGCGCCCAGCGAACTGAACACGCAACGGCTTCCACAGGATGCCCCACTGGCCGACGAGAATGCCGAACGCTTGCTCGATCCTGACTCTGAGTTGGCTCAGATAGAAGTTGAACGCATCTTTGTCCAGCGGCAGTCCCCTCCCTGGGTACGGAGTCAACAGGTGGTCGCTTAGGGGGTAAGCCGCGTCTCCGAGCATGTAGAAACCTAGCGGCAGGTTTTTACCGCTGTGGATAGATCCGAATGGTTCCATGCCGTCCAGTCATTGGTCGAGCCGGGTGCAATGCAAGACATGCTGCAAAACCGGTAGTTGGCATCGCATGTCGCCTGTACGTTCACCCCGTAGCCGCACTTGCTCCCAGAATAATACGAGAGAACGTTCGGAGTGTTGAGGGCAGTCGGAGCAAGAGTCTTCACGAAGAGGCCATCCCCCGCAGCTACTACAACTTGAAAGGCGCTGCCCGTGAATTTTTCCTGAGGATAGACATGGCGCGCGGGGAGGGACACAACAGAGGCGCTCTTAGATTCGTTAAAGTTTGATTTTCGGGCAGTGGCAAGCCCATCGACTACCCCAGAAAAAACGTACAGGCGTGTGCGAGCAATTAAAGACGA